CTCTCTCTCTCTCTCTCTCTCTCTCTCTCTCTCTCTCTCTCTCTCTCTCTCTCTCTCTCTCCCCCCCCCCCTCTCTCTCTCTCTCTCTCTCTCTCTCGTTTTATGAGAGGAAATTATTAGTTCTATATAATTGCAGAAGGCCATTATGCTGCCTGGCAAGAACATTAATTAATTTCATTAAATTTACATTAATTCATTTCATTGAATTTACGTGCGAGAAAGTAGGACATGAACATCCTGATGAGGATTGCCAAGTGCGAAAACAAACTGGGTCAAGAAGAAGAAGAAGAAGAAGAAGAAGAAGGAGAAGAAGAAGAAGAAGAAGAAGAAGAAGAAGAAGAAGAAGAAGAAGAAGAGGAAAAGGAGAAGGGAAGGAGGAGGAGGAGAGGAGGAGGGGGGGAGGGGGAGGAGAGTGATAAATTTTGATAATCATTTGTGTTGAAGGAGGAAGAGAAGGACCCGGAGAAGGAGGAGGAGAAGGAAGAGGTGGGGGGGGAAGAGGAGGAGGAGGAGGAGGAGGAGGAGGAGGAGGAGGAGGGGAAAGACAGAAAAGAGGGGAAAGAGACGGCCGCGGAGGAGGAGAAGCACAACGGGGAGTAGAAAATGTGCGACGTCTTGTTACTCTTTTGTCTTCTTCTGCCAACATCACATCATCTAAGAATCATATTGTCGCCCTCTCTCAAAGCATTCTTCCCCATCGAACTCTTCCTGCAGTTGATGGTTATCGACTCCTCTACGAGCGCGATGTCCTTATTGAACTCCGGACCGTAGACCACGTTGCCGAAGTTCCTCAGGAAGGCGGCAGTATGGAGCCAATACATGTTAAGATTCTTATCAAGGTCTGAGTTGCGATACCACCCACTTTGTTTCTTTCTTTCTTTCTTTTTGTCTTTTTTTCTTCTTCTTAAAAGAACACCCACTTTGTTTCCTTAGTTATCAGAATTGTACTTTTCTGTCACTATCCCTCCCTCCCTTCCCCCCCCCCCCTTGCGCCCCAAATGGCATACCCCTATATGTGTCTGGTTCATTATATAGGCTAGGTTGCTGGGTGGTTAATACTTGTGTCAAAAGCCTCGTTAAGCTCTTGTTTAAGACCAAGAAAAAGAAAAGAAAAAGAAAAAGAAAAAAAACTTGTTTAAGACCCTAATCCTAAACCCTAAACCCTAAACCTTTAACCCTCCACGCTAATTCTAAACCCCAAACCCTAAACCCGAGACCCTGCACCTTAAACCCTGACCCGCAAACCCTAAACCCTAAACCCTAACACTGAACTGTAAACCCTAAAACCGAACAGTAAACAGTACACCCTAAACCCTATACACTAATTCTAACCCTAACCCTAAATGCTAATACACAGATACGGACACAGCAGCCACGGGGCCCTGCTCTTCATAGCCCTTGTTCCCCCCATGCATCTCCTCTTTGTCTATATCATTGCCGTGTTTCCTTGTCTTCATCCTCACCCTTTCTCTGCGCCTCCTTACCCTCCTTCTCCTCCTTGTCCTCCTCTTCCTCCTCCTTAACAGACCCCTCCTTCCCCTGCCAGCTAAGACCTTCGTTCGTGTCACACACCTTCGTTCGTGTCACATCCTCTTTCCTCTCCTCCACCGGCGCACACTCGATTCTTTTTTTTTTTTTCTTCACAATCAATTCTATTTTACACCAGTCATGCAGATCCGAGTGTGTTACACATTTTCTTGGCTGACTTCTCTGTACACCACTCTTCTGTCTCCTCCCCCTCCTCCTCCTCCTCCTCCTCCTCCTCCTCTTTGCCCACGCCGTCCTCCTCCTCTTCCCGTTCCCGTTTCTGTTTGTGTCCCAGTCAAGGGCACTGACCCTCCTATTCACTCAGATGTGCCTGTATTCTCCACTCATTTTTCTCGTCTTCTTCTCCCCTCCCCTCTCTTCCCCCCCTCCTCCCTTCGGCAGTGCACTCCTTGCGCTCCGTCTCCTTGTCTTCACTTGTATGCCCGTTGTCCGCCAGTTGTCCTCTTCGAATAGGTCTGCTAACTCAAACTCTGCGTGGTGCAGCATCCTCTTGTTAACTCTTGGCGGCCTGGACTCTCACCCCCTCCCCTCCTTTGTGTGCTCCTTGCACCTTGCACTCCTCGTCCCTTGTTTTCTCACTCACATGCTTGTTCTCCTCTTCGCTTTCGCATGTGGAGTTGCTTCCTCTCCAGACGCAGTTTGAGTCTGAAACCCCGCAGGCGGAAGTGGAGGTGCTAACTCTGCTGCAGACGCAGTCTGCGTTTACTGCGTCTGCAGCAGTGCAGCCTTCCCCTCTTCTCTCTTTTAAGTAGCAGCCCCAGCCCCTTTTCTGACATCTTCCAGCTGACAGCTGGTTTTTCCTCGTGCGCTTGACTTCACAATCGGTCGGGTTTGAACTTTGAACCCTTGTGCAGTTTCTGTGGTATGTAAGACCTGCTGCCACAGCGCCGCCCAATTCAGAGCACCCTAATTTTGGGGGGACCAAGTTTCTCAACCAGTCAGGGACTGATTGTGAAACTTGGTCCCCCCAAAATTAGGGCTAATGTGGGTCTTTCTTGTTTTTCACTGAGAATTCACTCCCAAGTTTCCGGAAACGATTATAGGGTAATGATGTGCGTAATGCGGCCCTTTCACTCAGCTATATAATGTGGCTCTTTCACTTCCAAAAGTGCATTTTTTTGGCCGTTTTGTCTATTTGGAAGGTAGCAGCGGCGACTGGAATGTGGGTAATGTACAGTTCACTGCACGTCAAACGCAAGGTAACTGCGTGTTAACTGTGAGTTAGCTGCATGGTTAAATACAAGTTATCAGCAAGTTAGTGGCGCTGACTGAAATTAAAATATTTTTTAAGTAATTAATTTGTAAAAGAGGTTTTCATCTTGCCACTTTTGCTTATTGGTATTTGTGGCTGGCAATCCATTTCCATCGTTCGTTGATCGGCGCAGGGTGAGGAGAACACTCCTCGTGCTGTCCGAGTGGAACTCACAAGTGAAGCAAACCTGTTTTTTCACTATGTTCACTATACCGACAAGGCTTCGTACCAGACAATTCAGGTCCGTGAGCAGCATCTCCCTCCCCTCCACAACGTCTTCATATTCCTTTTTTTTTTTTTTTTTTTTTTTTTTTTTTTTTTTTTTTTTTTTTTTTTTTTTTTTTTTTTTTTTTTTTTTTTGGATTTTTTATTTTCTATTACTATCTAATCCTTATTACTTTCTAATTGGTTTCGTTCTTTTAATCGTTGTTTTCCTTTTTTAAAAGGGCAACGGCCTTGAGATATTAATATCGTATTATTGTTATGAACCTGGTTGTTTGTTGTCAGAAGACCAACACTCGCTCACATAGACTTCCAGGTATGCCCATACATACACAGAAGGAAGGGGAGAGGATGGGAGTATCACACCGCACAGGGAGAGGATGGGAGTATCACACCGCACAGGGAGAGGTAAACACAGTGGAAGACTTATTCATGCGATATGACAGAAAAACACTGAAAGTGCAATTCGCTCCACAGAATCCTCACAACCAGTCACAAAGGAAAGCCGAGTAGATCACATCCAGGAAACACTGAAGAAATGATAGTTCACACACAGTATAAACACTGTTTATTAAACTCAGAGTCTCGAAATGGTGCGCTGCTCAAAATTGAGCAGCGCTTCACTCCCCAACCCTGAATAACAGCTAGAACTACCCCTGAGTCTCTGAAACATCAAGCGCCACCCAGATACTGCCTCCAGAGGGAAGCGCCACCCTGAAACAGGCCTCTGAGGCCAAACGCCTCTCAGAGGATGAAGAAGAAGACCAGCGCCACAGTGTCTGATGATGATGAAGTGCCAGAGGACTTCCCGGGTGGAAGTCTGTAGCAGCGCCACCTCTCCTGACAAGGATGCTCTCTGAGGAAGAAAGCTGCAGCTATGGCTGCAGCGCCAAACACCCTGAAACCCTACTCCTGAGGAGGGTCTAGCAGGGCACCAACTTCTCTCACCTCCAGCAGACTTCAGATAGCCCGGACCTCTGAACAGCCCCGCGTGCTGTCAGAGTACAGCGACGGTCCCAGCTATGGCCGACACTTCGCAGGTCCAGCTATGTCCGTCTTCTCCAACGCTGAAGCTGTCACCACTTCCAGTTCATGCGTTGTGCAGCGGCGACGTACACGGTACCAACTGCCAAAAAGCCCCTATCTGTTTCCCTCAACCTATTCATAGTCTACCCTAGCCTAGACACGACCTAGACCGGACTGGTAGGACTGACCGGCACCGTTTCAGTTTCAGCCTCTAGGGCCTCTCCCTACCCGGCTATAGGCTATACGACCATCTATCAGCATAGGCCTTTAGGGCCTGTCTGTCCTAGGGGTAGCCCGGGCCTGCTATTCGCAGTTAGGGTAGTTGTAGGGAATTCAGTTAGTGCTGGCCTATAATTTTCCCGAATTTGCAGATATGTCCTTCACGAATTTCCTCACAGTCAGCTGTCGTGGTTAGCCCTCAGCCAAACAAAATTACAAATCTGACCTACCTATGGTACAGCCTCGACTTGATGAGCTCAGGAAACAGTTGGAGACCCTGACCAGCAAGGGCTGGATTCGTCCTAGCACATCTGAATGTGAGTGAGTGTTGGTCTTTTGACGACAAACAACCAGGTTCATAACATTATCATCGTGCTGACCGGCCCCAGGTTATTTTCAGAATGGAGGATTTATTAAATTTTATTTTGGTCATCTGATTGCGTCTGGATTCGGAGTTCAAACTGAGGTCTGTATTTCAAGTTTTTTTCAACAGTTCAGTCCGGGGGGGGTGTACCAACTGATCTAGGCCCATTGGTACTTGGAAGTTGGAACTACTTTCCAGTAAGCTTCTGGGGACTCTAGGCTTTTTTTTTTTTTTTTTTTTTTTTGGAAGTGTGCAAGTATCATGTTTTTTTTTTTTTTCTTTTTTTTTTTGCTTCGATGTCTGTGAACATCATATGTGTGAAGATTCTGTATTTGAAAACTTTCACGTTTATTCTGCATTGAGGACATCGTTGAACGATCTTCATTATACGTGCGTCGTGCATGTGTGTGTGAAGATTATCTGCTTGTGATGCAATGAGCAGCATATCCCTTTACAGCATTAGTATTTATAATTTTATACATTGTTATTATTTTAAAAACATTATATTATATTATTATAATGGCTGCAAGGAATATTCCCACGAGAGCGAAAAGATTCAGACCAACATGAACTCACCGATGGGCATGCATGAGGCCATACTCATTCTAGCATTTTCCTAATGTATCTGACTCCGATTACGGCCCGACCTCGATGCATTTCACACAAATTCACAGCGAAATACACATCCAGAGCTCAGTCACAAAGCCCTAGTGTGAATATGCCGTGCCTAAACCCTAAACCGAGAACAGAATGCAAACGGACAAGATCACACCTACACAAGAACGTGCACAGCACCGAAGTCTCTTGATTATGACAGCCCTCGGCCCCTCGTATCGCCTCCATCCAACCAATACAACAACAGAACAGAGCAGTAGTTCCCAACTCAGGTAAGACCCGCCCTATACCATGACCTAGTCTAGCTTATCTATCTCATTCGCGAAGCTGCCGAGTTCTGTCCACAGCTTCCGATGACCGCTTGACGAGGCTTACACCGCCCGACTTGGAGCTGTTCCTGCCGACCGACCACCAGGCAAGTGTCTGCCAGCTTTTCCCACGGCCTTCCTCACGGACCGAAGGACCACCTCTGTCCGACCGCCAGGCCTAACATACAAGGCGCCGAACCAGCTATGGCACCTGGGTTCTTTGCCCTCAACGGCTACCGCTATGGCGCTGGTGACTGTGTTATGTGTTCTGGACGCTCGTCTTCCTCCTCTTGCTCATGCGTACTAACCTAGCGCTGTAGCAGCCTGTTGGCAGAAGACGTGCCGTCCGATCATCCCCTTGACTTGCCCGGTGTTTGCTTCTGTACGGTGGCCACATCTTCCTCGGGGACCTGGCCCAGGCGCGAGCCGGGCAACACTCGTTGCCCGATTGGCTGACTCTAGTAACTTCTAGTACATACTGCCTACTGGAAGTTTCTAGAGTCAGCCAAAACCTACCCGGCCCAGGCAACAAGTGTTACCCGGTTCGCGTCTGGCCCGATCGGGCCTATATGCGATGGACCCAGGATCCATGGCTCGGTACCGACCCTCTACTGCCTGATGTGCGGCCTAGGGGCCTCGTCCTCCCACGCCCTTGGGTTCGATCACCTTTTTCAGATACCATCGATCTTGCCGTTGCGCTCATTTGAGAGCTCTCTCATATCCTGTGACCACTTGGGGATCAACCCATCAGTTCCTCTCTCGCGAACCACCGATCTTCGCTCGGGTCTAGTGATGTCTGAACCATAGTCCACGCGGCATCTATGGCTTTGGTGGTCGACGGTCACCCTCTGCCTTTTGGCTTACCCACCGGCATGTACCCATGTGGAAAGCGGAGAGGATGATTGCTGGACTTCGGTGCTGCGCCCGGTCTGTGAGAGAGAGATCTATCAGTCTGCTGTTGTGTGGCCCGGCGCCCAACACCGACCAGACCCGTCGGGATCGGCGTTGTTCGCACGCTGCCTCGTCGGACGAAGTGTAGCACTAAAAGGGGCTTGGGAGGAATGTGCAGAGGCTAGCTGTTGCACTAACGAGCAGAGTCGGAATGGTAGAAGGTAGGGATCTCAATTGTTGTGACAGTGTGGTGACCTATGGGAGCTTGACAGCTGGCATCCCCAAGAAGAAGACGCCAGCACATCAGCACCACCAGCAGCCGCAGGAAAGAGAGGATGGGGTGAGGGCCGCACGGCACACGCCCTGGTCGGCTGGACAGCTAACTGACAAACAACGAACGGATCTTCTTATCCTGTGTCATTGCTAAGGGACAAACAACAGACTAATATATTCATTAATGTATTAAACATGGTAACCGCCCGGACGTCCGGACCGGGTTCCAGACAGTCCGGTGTCCGGTGTCTGGTGTCCGGTGTCTGGTGTCCGGTGTCTGGTGTCCGGTGTCCGGTCCCCATGTCTGGATGGAGGCCCCTGGGGCAAA